ATTTTCAATCGCTTATGAATCGAAAAATACCCAATCATAAGAAAGGTAGAAAAAATAAGAGCGCAAAGTTTGTTCGTTGGTAAACTAACTGAGATAGAAGTCGATGGGTCACCTAAAACATCAACGTTGATTTCAGTTCAGTGTTTCATTTTCGGGTTATGAGAGTTTCAGTTTCAGTTTCGGGTTACCTAAAACATCTGCTCTTTCAGTTATCTTATTTAGATTTTTATCGAACTTGCCTCCTGGAAAAAATGTTTTAAATTGTTACAACATTTCATTTCTGTATTAAGTGAGAGATTGATTTCTCAAACTGTTTGTAAATCATGGTGCAAGCGCAAAATGTTGATAGTTCAATTCTTTTTCACTGTTGAAATACCACTGCCAAATGATTATAATGGTTAAAGATTTGGGACACTATTTTCAGATTCAGTTGATGGATACCAAAGTAGAGCATGCAGAAGGCATTTTGTATGCTTGCAACGGATATCTTTGTAATGGCGGTACCACAAAACTTCACGTTCCGTTTGATGTCACAATCACCGTCACCTTCATATTATTTCTTCCGTTTATAGCAATGTGTATGTAAATAAATGTCAACTAATGTTTCCTATTTCCGTCAATTTATTTCATTTTTTTCGTAGCATAAAATTCACTGAAAATTGTAGTAAGGATGGAAATATTTTGATGTTACTCCCCATGATCTCAAAATCTTTTCGCACCTGTTGCATGGCAACTATGAATTTCATATTTGAAAATTGCTGGTATAGTTGACGTTAAGAGCGACATCAAACTTAGAAAGGGATAAATTGAAATTCGAAAGGGTATTTGAGGCAAAATAGAGGGAAAATTATTCTACTTCATCCAATACATCACATCATTCATTGGCGAGGAAAAAGAAGATGAAAGAAATGTGGATCAGGTTTTGTTGTCCTATTTTTGCTCTTTAACTGAAATTCATATCAATCCTTTCTTCCATAATAATTTGGAATTAGAATTAAAATGATTTTCGAAATGATTTTTAAATGCTTGAAAATTTGTCATTTTTCTTGCATCGATTATTTTTCTTCTTACAAGTCAAATGATACATGTTCGGACACTCATTCTCTTCGTCATATATTTCAATCACTTCCAACGTTGGTGACAGTTTAAACTGCTGTGGTTTACTAATAGCAGAAAATTTCTTAAAATGTTTCATGTTCAATCACAAATATTCGACAATAGTAAGATATTAGTTTAACTATTTATGAATAAATAAATAGGAATAGTAGATTTCAAAAAATGCATAAAATTTGAAGAAACTTTATCTTCGTTTGATTTGTAAATTGGAATTAATGTACAACAGCATTAAATTGATTGTCCTCAAAGTTTATGCAATTTAAAATAAAGTATTCTTTACTTGAATGTTCTACAAGCAAATTTTAAATTAAGTCCTCCATTATAGCAATCTATTTATATGGTACGTTTTTTGGTAATATGAATCGCTGCTCTTGGAATTGAACTTTGTCCTTATCCTCAGGATGATCGTAATTATACAATCCAGCTCGTTGTTTTTTCTTGGAATCTGCAGCAAGACGTTGTCCTTCCTGCCTATTTTCTTCATTTTTACTTCCTCTTCTAAATGGTCTGAAAAAAGACTGGTGATTAGGGTCAGCTGGTGACTGATTCCACATACCGCTCTTGGAACCGAACGGAAAAGCAGGCTGAATCGGCAAGCTGGATAACCATTCCTCGAAAGTCGGGATTTGTCCCGGAACAAAGATGGATGCATCAATTCTCCCTTGTTTTTCTTCGCTGTTCTCCTGTAACCGTAACACTTCGTCGTCATTCTCCTTAATCATTTCCGGATTATCATCATCATCATCACGAACATCATCATCATGATTATCATCGTCGTCACCATCATCCTGATCATCATAATCATCTTTGAAGTTTTCCTTATTTCTGCTACTAATACCTTCACTACTATTCTTCATTTCAACTGGCTTTCCTTGTAGCCATCGTCCATCACCGTCATCCCCATTGCTTTCACGGAATTCTGCACCTTGTAACGACTCCTCATGTTCATCATTACCATTTACATCTCCAGAATCTTGCCCAGGATCCAGCTTCTCGTTCATCTCACGTCTTTGCTCATTAATGGGTTCTATTTCCGAAAACTCCGGATTTTCGAGCTTCGGAAAACTATTACCATCCCTATTTTGCTCTGCTTTATCATAGTCTTCGTCATCAAACTCAGAAATGTCAATCTTCATTGTCGTCGACTGTGGCATAGCAACAGGATTTGACGTTGAATTCTGTGCACTTCCGGCACTAATAACGTGAACCTCGGATAGTCTCTTGATATCCATCGATTCTCGTTCACATTCATTGCTGGGTTCCGTAATTCGGATGATGGTTTCAACCGTTGGTCCATTCTTATCGATATTTTTTTGTTGAATTAATGCAATATTAATAGTGGTTTTTGGTGTTATAACTGGTAATGATCTTCTGGAGGCTGTCATTTCTGATGGTTCTTTAGTAATCAGTGTAGCTTGCCCGTCAGTATAATTCATTTGCAATTTTGCCGGGGAGAATTGCTGAAAAAGAGGAAACTCTTGTCCCGCTTTTCCTGCGCCACCTCGCAACTGAGGCTGTTCTGAGTTCGAGGTCAAATTTTCCAGCACTTCGTCAATGTATCTGTTTTTCATCGATGAGTTTGCTTTTTGTGGAATCATAAACTGAAGTTTTTCTAGATTCTCATCATATACTGATGCTGTGCTTTCTGCACTACTGGTCGCTACGACTGACTGGAATACCGCAACCGGATTATCTTCCAATCTACCTCTTGTATCTCGGGAATAAGGTTTTACTGTTGTTCTGATGCTAGTGTTTTTTTGCGAGACTGAAAGATTACGTTCGATAGGACCGATAAAACTAAGTCCTTTATTGCTTTCTGTGGTATTGCGATCCACTTTACTTGCAAAGATGCTTTCTTCGTCCTGTTTCTCAGCTTCCGGTTCTGCTTCAATTACCGGCCACAGGAAATCACCGAGGTCGACCATTCCAACGGTACTACTAGTAGCATCAATGGTAGTGGATTTTTCCCGCTTTCCGAGAAACCTGCTCTTCCCGAAATTAAAATTTGTGTGTACGATTGATTCATCATTCAACAGCTCATCATCAGTATCATTCTCCAGCGAATCCGCTCGAGCAGTCACTGTATTCAGTTTATCACTCTTTTGATTAACTTCGTAATTTTTAATCGTATTCATACTATAACCCGGAACATATTCCGAATAGGTAACCAGAGATGTTTCAGAATCTTGTGATTCCAATCTTCCTTTACCAGTCTTATGACGACTGTTGTTAAGGTACGTTGTTGGTATATAACCTGCTATCATTTGAACATTGTAACCGATAAGCTTAGCACCAGGCGGTACTTTCCAGTTTTTCAATTGCGCATTTTTTGATGATGCGGTTGGTAACCATTTTTTGGAAGGTGACCTTAAAATCTCGCCATTTTTCTTCTGTTTACTACCATAATGATTTCTCAAATTGTCAACTAATTTAGGAGTTATCAACGTTGCATCAATATCGGATCTTTCTTCCAGGAGGCCATAAACCGGTGGTGGTAATGAATCCGCACTTTGATATGGTGTTAGAGGACTGAACTGTGGTTCTACAATAACCTGAGCACCTGGAAATAAGTATTATTAAACGTAACATACATGGTAGGACAAGCTCATAAGACAAGCTCATAAAAAAATGAACTAAATTTTGTCATGCAGGTACAACCATACGTCAATGTTTAAATTAACAGGCTTAATAAGCCAAAGGTTTAATGAGTCAAGGCTGGCTCCGGCTTTTAAAAGGTTGACCAATGGAATTCAATCACTTTACCACACTGTTTTAAATGATGAGGGTACTTAATTAATTAAATATCTTTTGTTGTCCGACAGATTTTTATCGCTTTTTTCAAACATAAAATCAGATCAACACGATAAATTTGATAATTAGAAAACATCAAATATGGTAAAATCGACTCACTGGAAACATATCTGATGAGAATGCTAATTAGGATGAATCTACAGTAAGTTGGCAGCATACACTTTTTATAGATACAAAATTATGAGACGAATACAATTGACAGAATATAACAGGAAATATACACCACAAGATGTGGTCCTCTTGTAATGAGGACAATTGCGCGAAGAGGAAAGACTGGACAATTTGCTTTACAATAAATAGGATACACTGACTGGAAGAGTTATTTTTGATGAGAAAGCTGGAAATTTCCCTCCCTTACATCATTCATTGCTGTTATTTTTTCACTTTTATGAAACTATTTATTATTTAATTATCTTCCATAGTTACCGCATACATTCAACAATTGAAAAGGAATAATGGCAGAAGGAATGAAGAAACGAAAGAAGTGAAAGAATGAAGGAGTGGAGAAATAAGGGGATGAGAGGATGAAGGAATGAAGGAATGGAGGATTCAATACAGCATTAATCATCCTTCTTATTTCTAATAAATTCAACAGTTCCTGTTTCCCTGTATATCACAGGGAAAATGAGCGAGAGACAAGAAGAGATCGTTCGGTAGATACAATCTGAGAAGAATGTATCAATAAGATGAATGTTTAAAGGAAGCCTAACATTGGCTAATTAATGTAATGAAGTGATGAAATGAGAGTGTGGACTCGATGCTAATGATAACAATGTTATGTTTGATGAGCACACTTTAGAATGATATTACATGATTAGAACTATTTCAGATCGAGTACCACAGCCTTTTTTGAGTATTGAGTATGGATAGTAAAGAGCATTATAGAGTAGGAGGAGTGGAAGACGGGAGAAATTGTCCGAAATAGTGAAGGAGAGGAAGCAAGAGGTAATTGATGTTGGGAAAGTAGCAAATATCTAACTTTTATTCGCGAGATTTCAACCTTTACTGCCTACATGTAGTTCGCTTACGTGCGTGAACGAGTTGAACGTGCGTGTAAGTGTGGAGCAAGCATGATTGCAATTAACTTCCATTATCCATTGCATTGGTTCAGTTCGACATCAAATAAGACCCGGGAAAAACACTCAGCGTTCGATTACGCATTCACGCGCTGTCTGTAGTCGACGATTTTTACGTGCAATAAGTAAATGTATTAAAGTTAGAGAAATAACACACGAAGGGAACGTCTGTAAATTAATCTCGGCATTTTAAATTTTACTGTATAAAGTTGTTGGCAACATATTTACTTGTGAAATTTGTTAAATTTCGGATCAATCCTTCTATCTCTTGACGTTGAGCAAAGTAAAGTTCGCACATCGGAAAGTTGACAAAATTGCCAAAAATTCGGAAATCTTCATTTATTTCAGGGATTATTGAATAACGAGCAAGCTAACAAATCTTCAGTTTAAAACGTGCAAACGTGATCCTTTCGAATGGATCCTAATTCGAAGTTTCATCCGGAGTCGTCCACAGCATCGACATCTCCTATGAAAGTAGGAGCTAATTTCCATTCTTTTCAAATTTTCTTGTATCGGTTCACGATAAATGCTAGATAAGACAAAAGTGCTACTGGGTAAAAGAAAGAAAATGGCTGCTGTAAAGATCTGTAAACGAAATACAAAAAGATAGGCCTGTATACAAAAAGATAGGCCTCACTATCTTTTTGTAATCGGTGCATGGGAACTGTACTTCTTTAAAAAATGATCATGGTGGTGGTATCGAAAAGATAGGTGAGCTGAAGCTTTCCAGGATGTTGACGTATTATGTCACAGTGCATTACCTTTTGTCGTTGAGGCAAAACATTAATTAAACTTTGCCATTCTTTCTCTGACAGCAGTTGTTGTTACGAATAACAAAAAAAAAAAGAAGAAAAGAATGATAATGAAAGCCTTCTGAATAAGTAGAAAGGTAGTAGATAGCTATTCTGAGCGAAGTGGTTTCGTTATTTTTTCAAAATAGGTAACTGAAGAGGTGGGATGGAAGACGAATTTTCGTCCTTCTAATATTTACACTGAAAACGTTATAGGAAATGGAGTTGGGTTTCGAACCTGTTGTCAGTGGCCTACCAGCTGAATCGGCGGTACTCATTACAGCCAAACAACTGACAACACAAACAGTTGGCGGTGAAGACACGTATGACGTAATTGCTAGTCCTTCAGGCTCCTCTGACGGAAGCAGTGAATTCGTGAAGGTAGAACACAGCGATGTGCAGCAGAGGTAATCATTTTTAGCTATGCAGTTAGCAGATTGGGAGTAAAAGCAAGGAAAATATAATAACTGGTAGTTTGAAGGTTAACAGTATATTAAAAGCCATAAAAAAAGGCTTTCTGGTTTGTTTCTGCAATGATTGTTTTTGATTTTCCTTCATTTTGCAAAGAATAT